TGTCAAATCAGATCATTCTTTATAAAATGAAGAGAATAATAATCTAGAATAAAATGCACTATTATTTATCCACCATCAATATCATATTTTGCTAAAATAAATTATCTCAATATACAAATAAATAAAAATAAACAAAAGAAACATCATAATGATAACTAGAAGCTGGTATGTAGCTTAGCTTCCCCATACTGTTGCACGTAAAAAGGGTAGATTGAATTTTGTGAAACAGAAAATGAGACCCCATTGTCTCCCCCTACAATACAAACCCTATTTATTTAGTTGGTGTGAGTGTATATACCTAACTTCTATATATGTCGGATTCAAATTTTGGATATGAAAAAAATTATGTTAGGAATGTTATAGTGTATGGTTCAAATTTAATTGAAGTTTTAGATACCAGATAGCAAATCAAAAATTATGTTAGAAATGTTATAGTGTATGATTCAGATTTAGTCGGAGTTTTAGACACCAGATAGAAAATTGAAAAAAAAAATGACTACTTCATGTGTTGTGCTGTGTTTCCAAATGATTCACAACATCTCAACTGATCTCAATTACTACAACATGCAAACTACGTATGTAGGGGAACAAGTCACTAAAGTTTTAAAGAAAACTCATCATGTTGGGGGGAGTTATTTTTACTTTTATGTTTTTATGATAGAGTATAGGGGTTCAATTAAACATACCTTTTGACTTGCAAGACATATATATATATATTAATTATATATGTCCTCTGCGCGCTACGTTAATCTAAGATTTCTAAAATATGAATGCACGGTGCACCATAAAGATTAAATCGATCCCTTTATGGTAGAAATACTATGCCTGTTGTTGTTAGTATTTCTTTCTTATAAATTTTACATTGCTTTCTTATATATATATATACATTACTTCTGATCCCGTCATTGTTGTCTTTCTTCTTGTACTTGTATTGATGCACTTGAATCGAAGATTTTTCAAAAACAGCTTCTCTATCTCTACAAGATAGTGGCAAAAGTTGTGTATACTCTATCCTTCTCAAATTTCACTTAGCAAAATTTCGTCAGAGTTACTTTTATTGATAGTTAAAAATCTGATTTCGCCCTAATTATATATTATCAGATATTACAAAACTTAAATTCAATGAATTATTATAGTATATGACCCAACGTAATTATGCAAGGCACAGTGAAAGATACAACACGTGGAACTTGGTTTCTCAAGTCTCCACATAAAAACTTTTACTCTGTGCCCAAACTGCCCTATCAGTGAATATACAGAAACAACTCATGTGAACAATTAATTTTTTGAAATTTCTTTTTAATTTTATGACGTGATATTTAGATCAATTTTCATTATTTCTTGATATTAATAATGTGTTTTTATTCATCAAAGCTCAGATAAATAAAAATAAATTGCATAATGTTATTTTTTCTTTGTTGAGATTTGAACCTAAACGACTAAAATCTCAAAATTGAATTAATTTGCCTCTCATTTAATTGATCATCAGGTCATGAATTAAACCCTTGTGCCCTAGCTAGATAATAGTACAAACATACATTTTATTTTATTTTAAACCCAAAAAATAAAAAAATCACCTTTTGGCGTGGGGGACAGGTAGAAAAAAAGAAAATTAAAAATAGCAGATTAAATTTGTACTGGTATATAAAACAATTCTCTGCAGGAGTACTTTAAATTTTGTGTCATGTCTTTTTATAATTAATATTACTAAAAGAGAATAAATAAATTTGTATGATTTATAATATTGCAATTTATAACTTCATAAATATATAATCTTATTAAATACACTTCGTAGTATTCACAACTTTAGTGAACTTTTTATAAGTTCGTAACTCATAAGTACTGAAGAAGTATATGCATAACATTTTAATTCGACTTTACTTTGGTCATATCACATCAATAAATGGATCAATGTAACGTAAATTATGATGAAATGACTAAAATTTATCTATTTTTATTAGATATTTTGAGTTCATATACTTAGAAATGAATTTTTTTTTTGGAAGAAGTGAACCCTAAAATAGAGTCTATAATGCATGATTCAAATTTATTTTTGGTTTTTCATTTGATGTCTGGAGTCAATAATGAAGCTCCGATTAAATTTGAATCGCGCTTTGTAGGGTCCATTCGAGGGTGACGTTCTCAATAAAATTTTCTCCATATCTAGGGCAGAAATCCAAAACATCTGATTAAGGGTGAAACAATTTCACTAATGCGCCACAATCTACGTTGGTGAATCAAATTTAATATATGGGTTGAATAACATTTTTTTTTTAATAAAAAGAACATAGTAACAATTAGGAAAAGTTGTACAAAATAACAAACTATTAATTCAAATTAAATGATATAGCCATTGTTTATTTTAATTGTAAGTCGCAGCAAATATCCCCTATTTCTACAATCCGATTCGATATATAATTAGCCATTTTCGATATACAGTAAGTCATTTCATACATTTTGATATAAAATGTATAAAATGTATTTGTGTTTGTATAAAACGAGAGAAAAGTGTATATACAAATACAAATACATATATTCTCGTCTTATACATTTATAATTATATAAATACAGATCTTATTATACACATTACAATGTATAAATAAATTTATACAAAACTAAACAATTCGTATAAAATTAGATATTTGTAGCAAATTATACGAATCTAAAGAGTTTCAAAGCAAATATAAAATTTACTATAAAGCATAATTATGTACATTATAACTATAACTGATAAATATTATTTTTATATTTGTTATACGTAAAAGTTACTCGCGAAATACTACTACTTTTGTGAATATCAAGAAAAGTAGTTCGTAACCTATGGACATGCAAGCACATGTGAGGCAAATGGCTGATTTTGCAAGTAAAAAATTCTCAACACGTTTACCAGAACTTTAAATTCTACAAAATATTTTTTTTTTCTAACTCAAGACATGTAAAAGTTATATATAAAATAAAATCTTTTGGAGTATAAATATTCTTACGAATAATTCCACGGTGAAAATATTATTTGCATCAAAAAGATATATTGTTACACAGTTATGGTACTTAGGGGTTTGTTTCGTACGTAGATGAGATAGATAATATTATGTTATTATATATATAGAATAATTTATTTTATTATTATAATACTGTACGAAGAATAAAATTAGTTATGAAATTTATTGGTTAATCTCTAGCTAATATATCGCTAATGATCTCCCAGCCTACCAATCGAATCGTCTTACCATTCATTGCTAATTCGCTGCTAAACTCGATAATTAATATGAGTTCTTTTCTACTTAATTATATAAAATTTTATTTATCGTTAATTTTTTATTTCCAATAGTATAGTACAATTAGTAAAATAAATAATTATAAAACTAGCTTATAATTAGGAATCCTTTTTTGTGATCATTATTTTAGTTTATATATATATATATATGATGACAGAAAAGAGGTTACCACTTTTTTGGGAAATATTTTCTACTTTTATGATATTGAAGAAATGAATTTCTAATTTTTTATTAGTCAAACATCTAAAATAATGTTAAACCCTTATTAGTTAATTTGCACACACTACACCAACTAGGGATAAGTGCTTTGGGTTAAAAAATATTTTATAAGAAATTTGTAGTACTAATTAGAACTTTTAGGATGTGTGGAATTGTCAGTGGTGGCTGAATATTTTTTTTTTAAGGACAAAGATTATGTAAGTCGAATATTTTAAATTAGAGGTCACGTGTATAAGTATTTCTTAACCAAATTTAATCTACTAGTTATAAACTATTCAAATCGACATAAACAGTGATAGGATAATTGAAATTTCTGTATCTTTTATATAGAGATAACGAATTGAAATATTGAGTATAAAATTTTACTTATTAAAATTATTATATAAATATCAAATATCGAATGAAATTTTCATACGATAACTAAAAAAAAAAAAGAAAGTAATTGACCACTCTTAATAATGTTTGACCTAAACAACCTTTTTTATCCCAATAAATTACATTCAATGTGGACCATTTTTTCTTTTTTCAACTTTCTTGGGAGTCCCAAGTATGGAAAAAGTAAAATGGAAGGGGAAAAACTTATCCATAATTAGTGATAAATTTGAGGTGATAATAGTATAATAATAATATTATTTTTCATATAATAAGTATAATAATACATGTAGAAGCACACATTATGTGTTATTTGAGTTGCTATAATTACATTTACCAAATGTGGGAGCAAATATAAACATATAATTATATAAAAATTTAAATTATTGACTTCAAACGAAATCTTTAAAGATTAAGATTGATCAAAAAAATGAATATTTTGCTTCAAATCTTGTTATAGAGCATCTTATGTGGTCTCAAATTAACAAAGGAGTACTTGTTGTAACACTTCTCAAAGAGAAGGAAAAACAATATAATTCACATCCTTTTAGAGTCATTATTAAAGATCGTCGATATTTATTAAAAGTAAATAAATATCACTCTCACACTGTCATACGTATTTAGACTAAGATAACCAAATGTACAGATTTTCTAATCCAAGAAAAGACAAAAGGACATGAATTTCTTCCCCTAACAAACTTAATTAGTCAGGTAATTAAATGAACGATATTATTTTTTTTCAACAAACAAATTTATTTTAACCTAATAGGACAAACATATGTTTTGTATTTACCTGAAATAGCAATAATTTTAAAAAAATTACAATATGTAACGAATAATTGGAGTTTATTTGTTTTCTTGGAGCTGTATCTATTCATATTATATCAATGTTGACTCCAATACACAGTGAATCGATAAATATATCACGAAGTTCTTTAAAATAAATTAGATAATTACTCAAAACAATCGCTCTGATGGGTAATTAGAGCTCAAAGCCCAAATTATACTGGAGTCCACTTATTCACTGTGAGCTCAATTTAGGCCCACTAAACCAATGAAGCCCAATAAACTCAAATTATATAAAGCCCAAATTAGACTGGCCCATGAGATATAACATTTCATTTTCTGCTCAAATCTTAACTTCTCTTTCAGTTTCAATTGGAAATGAAGCAAAGAAGAAACCTCCCTCTAATTTTGTAAGCAAATCCTTAAAACATTCAATATTTGAATTTATTTTTTCTTCTTACATTTACTATAATGTCTGATAAAGATTCAATAAATGCAGTTATTTAGAGACATAAAATACAATTTTTCCTAACCTAAACCTATTCTTGATAAATAAAGTTTGAATTTTTGTCCATTTTTTCAGTCAAGAAAACAATTTTGTGTGTTGAAAAGGGTAGAGTGTACACAGACTTTACCGTTCTTCTCCGAGTCACAGAGGCTGTTTTCGAGGCTTAAGAATTGGTTTTTCTTGAATTTTAGTAGTATGAAGGTGTCATTGTTGTACACAGCTAAAACAGCCTATAGGTTGTTGAGCTCCAAAGCTACATGGGGGTGTCAAGTTAGTGCAAAGAGTAAGGTAAAAAGTTGTAGAAGTGAACTCATAGGTACAAAAAAAACTAAAGTGAAGTTAACTGAGCAGCAAAATCAAATCTTGGAAGCAATTTCAAATGGAAATTCTGTTTTCATTACTGGGTCAGCAGGGACCGGAAAAACCTATTTACTTCAGCATATAATCACTAAACTTAAGAAGATTCATGGGAAATCTCGGGTTTTCGTTACAGCTTCAACTGGGGTTGCTGCTTGTTCCCTCAATGGGCAAACCCTTCATTCTTTTGCTGGAATTGGACTTGGTGATGCTAGTTGTGTGGATTTGCTATCTAGGGTTTCGTTGGATAAGAGAGCGTATCGAAGATGGAATAAAGTTAGGGCTTTGGTTATCGATGAGATTAGTATGGTTAGTGGTGAGGTTTTCGACAATCTTGAGTTCATTGCAAGGAGCATTAGAAGTGAAGAACTTGGCTGTGAGGAGAAGATTTGGGGTGGGATACAATTAGTTGTGAGTGGAGACTTTTTTCAGCTTCCACCAGTAATTAATAAGAAGGGACAACAGAAGGAATTTGCTTTTGAAGCTGATTGTTGGAATGCTAGTTTTGACGAACAAATAGAACTTAAAACTATCTTTAGGCAGTCTGATGCTCAGCTTATAAAACTGCTGCAGGGGATTAGGAAAGGGAAGTATGATTCGGAGGATTTGAAGTTATTGGATCAATGTTGCTCAAAGGTGGAGCCAGATTCTTCAGCTGTTCAGCTCTACCCACGGATTGAAGATGTGAGTAGAGTGAACGCTGAGAGACTTGACTGTTTAGATGAGGTACTGTTCAATTATCAAGCTCTCGACAGTGGTAAAGATCCTTGGAAGAAGCAGCTTAAGAATGGAATTGCACCTGAGCTGCTCAAATTGTGTGTAGGATCTCGGGTTCTCTTGACGAAGAACATTGATGTTGTTGGTGGACTTGTGAACGGTGCTACTGGTACAATCTTAGATTTTGCTGCTGTTCAAGATACTCATAAATTATATGACCATGAGATTTCTGATATTTGCGGAAATGGTAACCTGCTACCTGTTGTTAGATTTGATTCTGGCCAAGAACTGATGATTGGTGTAGAAAGATGGTATGTAATGGAGGGAGATGAAGCTGTTGCAATGAGAAAGCAAATTCCACTCATATTAGCTTGGGCTCTAAGCATTCACAAGTGTCAAGGGATGACTCTGAACAACCTCCATACAGACCTCTACCGTGTTTTTGGCTTTGGGATGGTATATGTTGCTCTTTCGCGTGTTAAAAGCTTGGATGGCCTTAATCTAGTCAATTTCAATCCGTCAAAGATCAAGGCAAACCCAAAGGTTTTGCAATTCTATGAAAGATTGTCAGCTGAGAAAGATGAACAAAAGGAAGACAGTGTAACTGATGATATCTAAATTTGGTAGTCTCGGATGTAATCCTCGAGTAACAGTAGTACAACTCGGGGAAGTCCCTTTGGTGATCTTAAGCTAGATATGTGTGTGGAACGACATATACGGGACTTTTAAAGTAGAAACAAATCCATTCAGAGCAATCCCGGAAGACGTAACAAAGATACAACTTTGGTCATTCAAACCAGGGCATTGAGTTCATCATTTCCTCCAGGTAACAGATTTGTTTGCCAAGCACCAGCACCTTAAAAATTACCGAAAATTTGAGGATCTTCTGCCTATTACATAAACTTTATAAGATGCAATGTCCTTATTTCTAGATTGTCACTTGTATCCCAGGAACACGCAAAGTATCTTAGTTATGTAAAGACAGGTTCTTGTAGAACCCCTTCTTTACGAGACCTACAGAGGTGCGTTCTCCTACGTGTATCAACATAGTTCTGTATATCTTGTTAGTATCAATGGTCATTCAGCTATAGGAAGGTATCTTGATTCATGACAACTTACTGTACTCTGGATTGAGACTTTTTTTTATAACCAACTGGATATTTCAGATGAAATTTTTTAGTGGTCTAACATGTTTTATCGCCAAGCTCGTTCATCGGAGCTTGATGAGCTCAGGTACTAATAGCTGAAATGCAGTATGTTTGATATGGCTCTTGGTACGTCAAGTGTATAGCATGTGAACATAAAACATTTATATGATAATGAAAGAACTTGGAGTAAATGAGATTGTTTACTAGCTATTGCGTAGGAACAGGATTGGAGTATATGAGATTGTTTGCGAGCACTATTGCGTACCTGGACTGGTCCATTTTCCATGTTGACATTTCTAATTGTGTTTTTTTGATTTTTAAGAATTGCAATTAAAGATAAGTGGACATGCAATGGCCTCATTAACCAAATAAAAACGAAGTTCATCAAAATTATCAAACTTCAAGATGACCAACACGTCGTGATGAACTCTTTGCTTTTAAAAAATGATTCAAGTCTCAAAACTTTCACATGTGCCACATATTTGAAAATTTTACTGAAAAATCATCAAAGTTTGAGGTATGTCGAAAGACACAATCAAAGGATATTTCACTATATTTTTAGAATTCAACAAGTTATTCTAATATATATTAGGATTTAGAAACTAAGATCCACAGCAATATAGATAGAAGAATTAGAATATTATAAATAATAGGTAATGGCTATCAGGATATTGTCCTCTTCAACCTTCATTATTTGATATGGATTAATGGAATCTAAATAAAGAAAATTAGCCGTTTGTATTAAAGACCATAGTTAATCAAGACTATCAAGGACATTCAATAGCTATTTAAGTATGAAAATTAAGATTATCGACATATTTTCCAAAGTGAAAGTCATATTGTAGAATCAATTATTTGTTAGCATTGTTTATGGGAAGAAATAACTAACCACTTAAAATATTAAAAAGTTAAAAAGTTAACTCTCAAAATTTCATGCAGTATATATAGGTATTGCTATTTGTTTAAAAATTATATATATGGCACATAAATTAAATGCTCTCAATACAAATAAAATAATATGATGATGGGTCCCACCTCCCACACTTTTTGACTTGAAAATACAACGTTCCAAAAACATGAGTTAGCCGTTTTAGCAGTGAGAGAAAAAGCTCCATTGATGCAACTCTCAAAAAGAAAATTCTCCCAATTACCTCAACCGCACCCTAATTTTGCAGAATTAGGCTCCGAGAAATCAACTTAAATTCTCTGATTTTGGTGTTTGAGAGACTTCATCCATGGCGGATTTCTCTTTTCTTTCCGACAGCGACAATGAAAAAGCGGTAGAAGAGCTTCTATCACAAGCAATGGATCAATCTGTCCTTGAACAAGTTGCTGCCATTAATTGCTCTGGTTTTACTGACTCTGTACTCCCCACTCAGCTCGAAACTCGTTTTCGAAAACTCAAATCCCTTCCTGCTGCTCCGGCAACTTCCAAACCCTCCGCTGTCGCAAGAAATTCCAGGAGTTTCGGTTCCTCGGAGTTCCCTAAAACGAAGAAGATTGATGATGAAAATGAGAAAATTGGAGGAAGTCCAGTTGAGGAGGTGAATTTGGAAGATGAGTTTGTTGAAAAACAGAGGAAATCAACGTCGATTGAAAATGATGTTTTCTCAAAAATCACAAATGGGAAAAGATCTTCACCTGGGCCAATATCGGATTGTTCGTCTCCACCAGCGAAAACTGGGTGTTTTTGGTGTTCACCTAAGAAGGGGTTTAGTAAAAAGGGGAAAGAGAATAAGGGTGTGAGTATGGAGCTGAAATGGGGGAAGGATGATGAGTTATTATCGGACTTGAGTATATTCTCATCGAAAAATCAAGAGAAGTTGATGAAGAAAGCTATGGTGGAGCAAGAGAAGATCAATAGAGAAGCTGAGAAGATTGTTAAGTGGGCAAAACAAGCATCTGCTAGGATGGATGTTTCTAGCATTGAAGATGAACTAAGTGATGAGGACACTTTCAAATGAATGTCTTTTATACTGCTTTACTAGTAAACTTCATAAAATGCTGCTTTAGTTTGTAACTTGAATCCTAAGAACAACTATGTAAAGATGGGTTTTTTGTAAAAGGCTGTTGGTTTCCTTGTCATCCAAAAAGAAAAAAAGACTGGAAGTCTATTGATATTTCTAAATGTGTTTTGATCCAAGAAATGCAATTAAAGATAAGTTGACATGCAATTGCTGCAGATATATATAACCAAATAAAAATAAAATAAGAGAACATCAATGGAAGCCATAGTCACCCTCTCTCCAAACCATAGTCGCCCAAAAGAAAGAAAAAAGAAGATGAAATAAACATTGGAAAGAATTAATCGATCAAAAATGTAGCTGCAATGCAAGCACATCTCATCAGAAGGTTGGGCGAGACCAGTGACTCTTTGAATTTGAATGATCAAACTTCAAGACGGCCTTCAGTTTCTGAAAAAAATTAAGTGCCCATGCCTGCAAGTAACACAATTAGAAGCTGAGAAAGTGGTCATGAAGCTCACACACTGTACAAAAACTTGTGAAGAATGCCAAGTTGACTACATTGGGCACTGATTGAAGTCAAAATATATTTTTGCGTTCATTCAAAGATGATTTAATAGAAGGTGGGCTTGGCACAATGATAAGTGGTGTACTGCAACCACAAAGTCATTGTTTCAAGCTGTGGAAACAACTTCTTACTGAAATGCCAAGTAGTAAGATTGTGTACATATACCCAATATGGTTCCAGCCCTTCCCTGGACCCCTAAGTAACGAGAGGTTAGCGCACGAGACTATCCTTTTGTTTTCATATATAGTTTAAAACAGTACAAACACAACATTCCTCATTTGTTACAATAATAAACATGGCAGTAAGAATGAACAGATAGGCAAGTGTTGATAATCAATATCCCAGAGAGACTATAATGAACAGATAGGCAAGTGTTGATAATCAATTTCCCAGAGAGACTATGGAAGGAATGTTACAGGAATTTTCTTCACTTTTTGTTCCAAAGTTCCTCCCATAACAGAGGGTTTAAAGGCCAAACCTGAATATGTATTTGTTTGTACTTCTTCTACTAGCTTATAAATACTTTTTTCTCTTCATGTAGCTATAAATTAATAAAACAAAGACATTTGCGGGTATTCTTTCCTCCAAGCTTCCTTTTATTTTATTTTTCATTTTTTTGCTTTCGTGCAGCTATAAGAGGTCATTGATTAAAAAAAGAATAACCGACGCTAAAGTGGAATAAATCAACGAAGCCCTGAACTGGAATCGGCAATTCAGGAGTAAATTTCAGAATTTTGGTATTCGGTTTTGGTAATTTGGGTAAGCGGTACTACATAATAGACAAGTACCTAATTTTATCAGCCTTTAAGCACGAACATCAATTCACCAATACTGCCAACAAGGACATTCTATAGCTCAGAGTATTGAAGGAATGCTCAGTGCCTCCTTTCTCCTTTTTAATGCTACACTTCGTCTTTAAGTATACAGGAAGAGTGAGTAAACTCCTTATATTAATGAAAGAATTCTATGCTTCAGGGAAACAACTCAAGAACAAATTTTCATGCTTCAGGCAAACAATTCAGGAACAATTGTCAAAGCTGGTTACCTACATCCTTAATCTGAGTTTCAGATCTAGTCTCTAAAACTTTTTATGCTTTTGGATTGCAAAAGAATCTCAATCTTAATTTTGGCCTGAATATGGACTTAGCTACTTTTCAAGATTTATACAGCCAAACCGACTCCACCTTCAATACATAATTACCGAATTACTGAAGCAGAATTTACCATACCGAAGCTTGATTTATTATATATGACCAGACTTTGGAAATACCGAACTGAAGGGAGTCGGGAGAGAGAGATTTGTACCTTCCAACGTCTTCTATGCAAAAGAATACGGTTAATTTCTTCCAACCTGATAATTATTCGCTGAAAAGTCGGTCTTTTTGATGGTTGCTCCTTCCAGCAATCCTCAATTAACCTGTTGAAATAATCACTTTAAATACTATTAAAGGGAACCGAAAAAAGCACAGGGACTTACTTTCTCAATCCATGAGCATATAACTTTTGTGAAGCTTTAAAGGGAGGGCGTTCATTTGCAACATATGCTTTGGCCACCTCAATTTCCTGCTTCGTGGAAAATGGTGGACAGCCTTCAATCATCTGTGGAACGGAAAGCATATTAAGGTGTATACATATTTAAATTACCCGACGGCCCTCTTAAATAATAAGGGATTTACAAACATGCTGGAACAGTCAAGGTGTTCCGAGTGAATTAATAAGGTAGAATAAGCATAAATTTGCAAGAAATAAGAATAGGAGACAGTAGATGGCAATGCAATCTTTTTAGAAACAACTAACATCGACTGCAAAATATGGAGGACCCCGTTGCCTTTTTACTCCATGAGATGACCTCTAGAATGCATACATACCAACCTATTGGTGGCTATCAATCTGATATCATGCCCATTAGCACGCATTACACTCAAAGTTCAGTTAAATAAAGTAAAAAACTTAAAATATCTACGAAGCAAGAAGTGATAACTAACATTTTTTCTTCCAGACAGGCACAACTGGAGATCCTTTTTAAGTAGCTTATGCATGAGAGAAAAGTTTTAAGAATTAGAAGAGCTTACCTCTTGCAATATCAAAGCAAATGAGAAAACATCCACCTTGGTATCATACTCCTCATGCTTAAGAACTTCTGGAGCAACATATCTCCCTGTAAACCAAGAGGTCAATTCAACTTGTTATTCTCATATACTAAAACGTAATATCACACCAATTTCCTTGTTAAAAACATGCGTATAAAGACCCATAATTCTACAATGATTAAATAGGAGTGCTATCAACTAAAATTTGAGGCAACCAGTACTTATGCATATTCTTTTTCTAAAATAACTTTCTAGTTCTCCTCTTCAAACTCTATTGCCAAATGTTCAAGAGAATAGTTCTTTTGATGAACAAAAAAAAATCAAGATACTCCTATCCCAAATCCTAGAGTTTCATTCACTAGCACAACCATTTAAGTGTCAAAACGTGAACGGTTTAGTATTTGCTGGCAAAAAAATTCAAGGACCATACAAACACTTTGTCACTTTCAGTTTCAAATAAAAAATTCAACGACCATATGCTGAAGCTTAGAAAGGAAACACCGAAACAGAGGTGAAAATTTGCTTCATCAAAATTAAAAGGAAAAGTAGAACCATGAGACTTGAGCTTAAAGCCATTGTTCGTATACGCTTTGCATAAATATAAGAGTAACAAAAAAGTGACAACAAAGTAACAGCAACAAATCATTAGAGTGAATATATTTCTTCAACCGCGGAAAATGCTGGGATACACTCACATGAATCCTCTTGACGCGCCAATGGTCTAACTTCCCTGACAGTTTTGGTAAATTTCATCAGCTTACTAAGTCCAAAATCTGCAACTTTCAGAAGTCCAGAATCATCCCGTAATATGTTTCTGTCATTTCACTCAGAAATTAAAAGTTTTCCATACATTTGTCAGGCTTCAGCCACTAAAGAACAAACAAAGCACGAGACTGGCCACGGGTAAACAGTCAGGAAGACTATAATAACATACTCAGGCTCCAGGTCTCGATGAATTATTGCTTCAGGTTTATTCTCATGCAAGTAGTTTATTCCTCTGCAAAATGTATACAAATATGACCATATGAGACATAAAGGCGCAACTATAAGAAAGATAAATTCAGGTTTCTCAACATATTTATGTACACAGCTTCTTCTGCAACTGATCATGAAGCTGCGCAACTACTATGCTTTCTATGAAGATATAATCATTATGGAACCCCAAAGTCCAGCACAGTACTTTGTTGAGATCAACAAAGTTGAAAAATTTATAACCCAATGGTGAAAAAACACAAATGCATGAAGAGGTACAAAATAAATGTTACAATTCTAAATTGTACATAGAATTGAAGAGACTGTAGTTGGTGTTCCTGTAGTAATGGGCCACTTATCAACAGACACCTTAGGCAAATTCAAGCACCAGGTGAACAGCATGCATGCAAAACTAATAAGATTCTCAAGTGAAAATTTGAGGAAATCAGCCAGTAACTGACCTTGCAATATCCAGTGCAAACTTCACAGCCATTATTGGCTTTAATGCACCTTTCCGTTTCAAGAATGCACGAAGATCTCCCTGAATAAGAACAGAATCAATGGTATACTTTAAATCTGCAGGGACTTCAAAGGCTTTCTCAACGACTTTAATGAATTTAATTGACATAAATAATGGGGAATATTTCGTTTGATCAACAAACAAAACAGAACCATGTCTTCAATGATGAAATAATATGCGTGATTTGTGAAGTCGTTAACGCCCTTGTATTGAGTACTTTGTTGATACTTAACCATCAATTATACTATTTTGATGCATGGTCGTTCTTGATTTCGACGTTGTGATAATTTCAAATTACAATAAGTCCTTGATTTTGTGACATCATAGCAAAGTTCTGGAGATAACTCCAGGAAGTGGTGAGTTGTTCTTTTAAATCAGAAGTACCTTAGACAGATACTCTGTGACGATCATCATTGGGCTACTCTGTGTCACAGCACCAAGAAACTGGACTACATTTGGGTGGCGTATCTTCTGTACTAAGGCAAGCTCATCCCCAAATGCCTTGCTGAAAAACAGTTAGAAAACAAAGAGAAGCGTCTTTAGTAATTTTTTATGAATTGTCAAATGAGGAATGTTCAAATTCTAACATCACAGATAGTCTATGACCAACCCACACTTTATCTTCGTCGGTGAATAATTCTTCACCAAGTTTCTTAACAGCAACCTTAGTTCCACGCCACAGAGCAACACAATACGTACCCTACAATCATTTAATATGATATGAAAATATATTGCAGTATTGAAAGTTCATCTACTTTTATCCCAGATACATAGCAACAGACAAGAAGTTAGAAATAACAGGTAGGATTAAAGCAAACAGTTGCCAGAAACAAATACAATAATAACAGCAGATACTTCATTCAACCCCAAATTCTTGATCTACTTACCTGTAGCCTACCTCACAAATACTTTCCCTCTTCAAAATGTTAAGGTAAATATATTTTAATTTTAACTTTATGTTATCTTAAAGTTGAACTAGCGTCTTGCTTCTAGCTATCCCACGTCTTCAAATTTCCAAACTATCATTTTAAACCTTCTCATCTGAATGCCCCAGCTAGTCAAAATTAGGTCATATATGTTGCGATGGATGAATAACATTTGGAATGGGTAAATAATGAAACCTAAACAAAAATATATGTTGTATATTCGTGGCAGGTTGATCAACTAAGATAACTAAAGAGGAAACAGAGCTTGGCAATAAACTTGAAAAACATGCCAGTATACTTGTTACCAAAGGCAAGCATCCCATTCTGAAAAATCAGCAGACATCTAATGCAATAACAGAACACAAATAACAAAAGAATAAAGTGAGCAATGATCAAATAAGCATAATTATCAAGTCAAAGAGAAATAAGTTGTTACCTTTGTTATGTTTACACTATTACTAAAATCAAGTTCTCTTGGATCAATTTCATACTCTGGAATTTCACGAACATTTTCTACATGCATGGGAGCCACCTAAAGTAAAAAGTAAAACAGATAAGGTAAATGGTTATGCCATATTACCATAGGGCACTTCGATCCTACAATCTAGTTGTCGAGACATACCGCAGGTTTCGCTCCATGTACTTCCAAAAGCTTGACCACATCATTATTCTTGTAATATATTGCATCTGCAAGAGGCTATTTAATCATACTTTGTCACTTCACTGCATTACTGTGAGAAGCCAAAAATAGACCCAAAGATAACCACACATATGTTCCACTCTGTAGACATCACTGTACAACTTGGAGTCTAACTCCGTTCACAAAGCATCACTATACTAATGATTAAACACTATTAAGAATTCATAAATTTTCTCCAGAAACAGACGTACTCCTTTGTCTAAATTTGTTAAAACACTCTTCTCATTTAGAAACCAAGATAATTGGAACATCTCTTTCCCATACAGCTTTCAAGAGTTCAAATATTAATAAACTAAAAATAAATAAATAAACTCTGATGTGATATATCAAACTAATTTTTCATCAATTAATATTTTTTTGGTGTTATTAAGATAACATGCAAGTCATATTAACCTTCACATTGGCTTATTTTTGCTTAGAAGCATTTCTTAATAGCTCAACCAACGAGCACAATCTATCCAAAAGAATATTTAACAAGGTAGACAAGGCCATTGCACCCAATTCCACATTTTCCTGCGCACCAACACACCCTAACTATACAAAAAATAGGGCATTACCTGAGTTAAATATAAGCAAAAAAACTGTAATTCCACTTCCAAATGACTAACAGTCTAAGACGGTTTGGAAAGTTGAATACTAGACTGGAACGAAAATGCTGGTAAATCACTTATCGAATCAGGATTGCTGAAAGGGCATGGAAGTATTCCCAAAATATCATTAGCCAAAAACTGCGTTTGAGCTGCTAGTTTGACCAGCTTTTAGACGTATATACAAGTTAGTGATATCTAATTACAGAGTAAAAATGAAGTATACCGTACTGCCCCAACGATCCATGGAATCCACCTGAGCGCCATTTTTAAGCAGAAAATCAACAACATCAGCGTAACCCTGGCAAGCGGCAATATGCAACGCAGTCCGTCCATCTATATCCCTGTAGTTCACACTGGTACCGGAGTCCAAAAGTTCCTCCATACCTTCCAAATCACCGTCATTAGTCATGTACATTAACCTCAAACCGGAATCCATACCTTCATCGACTCCATGGCCGGCGGTAACTGAGTCGTCGGAAACGCCGTCTTTCTCCGGCGCCAGAGATGATTGTCTACCCAGCGGAAACCTTGACTGCGACTTTGACTCCATAGTGAAAAACTTCAACTGTTTACGCAATTATGGTATGAGTAATCGAAGAATTCGAGAAGATTCTAGAACAATCTATCTGAAACGAATCAACAATGAGAACGAATGAGAAGCAAAGGTGGATACTATGAGTTGGAATTTTCGTTGAGAAGCATAAAGGAAAACGTATAAGACAAATGCTTTTTTATTTTTATTTTTTTGTAATACAAATGCTTTATTTTAAAGTGCTAAAGTTCAACAAGGCCCTACATTATTCAATTTAAATAAGGGCTATTGTCTTTTGAAAACAATGACAAAATCAAACTTTTATGATTTGCTATACATTAATCTAGACTTTATTGTATTTTATATTATTGAAGAGATTAAATTTAAAAATGTTTTTGATCATTGAAATTTTCTTTTATGTATGACATATCTTAAAAACTTAACTCATTTATATTATTTTCTTTTGAAAAAATATTAATTTATGTCATTATTTATTGACTGAAATAATATAATAAGATAAACTTTTAATGGATGGTATAAACGAAATTTTTCCAAAGTTCAATAGTATATTTAAGTATTTTCTTTTTAAAATATATATAAATTTAATTAATATTGTGACCGAGTCATAGCTGATTACGTGTAAAAAATTATTTACAAAATTGAAATTGTTTTTTTTAACAACTAATGACATAGATGAATCTTTTTTCTCAAACAAAAATGACATAAATGGGACAAACTTCTAACGGTTGGCATACATAAAGATTTTCTCAAAGTTTGATGACATATTTATTTTATTTTCCCTATGTTATATTATGTTAGTTTAGTGAAGATGATGTTTAAATAGATATTATTATTTTTTAAGTAATAAAATATCACACATCTATAATTTAAATGATAGTTTTATAAGAAAAGTAGGATATGAGATAGTGTTAGGTTATTAGCATTTTAATATTAATATTTAACAATATTAAATTGCTTTATTTTGGAGTTATAAGAATGAACATTGGTTTGGATGACTTCTACATCATTCATTAGCATTGGTTATCCATCAATGTATTTCATTCTTAATTCCTCCATTACTCCCTTTGTAACCTATGTAACTCCCTTTGTAACATATGTAACATATATAACTCCCATTGTAACTTATGTAACCTATGTAGCTCCCATTGTAACCTATGTAACTCCTAAGACCTTATCTTCACTATTTACTACCTCCGTTATCTTCTTATTCATTACTAGGAAGACTTCTTGTAGTATAAATAGTGGTAGTCTTCATTTGGTTTTAGTAACACACAAAACACAAGAGAAAACAAAGAGTGAAAGAGTTAGTCTAAAAGAGAGTTCTTATTAGTTGAAGGGAGGTGTTCTTTTTTGTGGAGCTTTGGACTCAACTCTTGTCCAGAGTTGTTGAGTTATACTTTGTGAAGGCTGTTGTATCCTGGAGGGGACAAGTCAAAGAGGACTACTGCTGGACCGGTGAAAACATTTGCTGCAGTGGGCTTGAATCTCCTTAAAGAGAGCAAGATATCCGCGCCTCGGCCTGAAGAAATTACTTTCTTCATTTTATTTTCAATTGTAATCTTGCAATTTTATTATCTTGTAAGTTTTTTCACTAACAGATAGTACTATTATAAAAAGAAAAATTTTATCATTAATAAATAAAATCAAAATAAAAAAAATCCAAATTTAAGATAACAACACGATCGTCATCAAATTAATCATTATACAAAATGATACTTTTTGTCTTGTCTAATGCTGGAACTAAACGACACAATAATAAAAATAAATCTGATATTTAGGTTAGTAAAATAGGGATCAACTATCCACACAAGGTGATAGTTTGATCTTAAAATTTAAAATTTGTAATTTTTAATATATTTGTTTGACAAAAAGTTTATATTTTAAAATCTATCTTTTAAAATATTTTTAACTTTTTTGAGCCAATTTTGGGGATTTTTCCTTATAAAACTTTGTTTTGTTTTTTAAAAAATAAAATGTATATTCAGACACAATTTAAAATTATAAATCACAATTTCAAAAAATTTAATTTTTCAAAGTTTCAAAATCTAATCTCAAAATTTATAATCGATCAAAAGCTTATAATATACTCATATGATTTTATAAACCTTTATACATTTAAAAATCAGGATTTTTTTTTGTTATTATTTATTTTTATCTTTAATGATTATTGAGTTGTTAGATTAAACTGAACTTATACATATATAATATATATAGACTAAGTAATATAAAAGACTTAAATATGAACTCATAGAGATGTAGTTTCTGTCCTTTAATATTCGGAAAAGAGTTTAGAATACTCTTGAAGTATTGAAAATGGTACAGAACTATCCTTCATCCATCTATTGGCTCCAAAATACCTTTTTCACCGATCTATTGGCTCCAAAATACCCTTATCATCCCCATTTGAGTTCAAAATTGACCACTTATTTAACGATTTCAAATTTAAACTATTTAAATATTTTTTAAAATGTTCGGCGCTCAATTACTAGATATAATTTAATTTATTAATATTATTTATAAATCAACCCACTACCCACCAATTACTAATTAAACCCCACCTAATTAACAAACCATTTCTAATATCAAAATCACCCTAAACACTACTAAAGCACGATAATATTATCGATTGCTGAAAAATGACATTCAAAATTATTGAGTCCGAATTGAAGCCCTAATTAAATTTAGATTGAGCCGCTTATTTAGGATGATTTTATTTCAAGCTTGAATCTGAAATTTATGATTAAAGGCAAAGAAGTAGCACCTCTCGAATCAATTCATGCACTTCTACATATAACTTTATAAATATTTATTATTTATTTTAAATATTAAAACTTTAATATATGTATATATATATATATATATATATACATATATTTTAAAAATATTTATTAAGTAACATCACATAATTGAGATGAATAAATAATTAAAATGAACATAGTCAAACTTTTAAGTTTATCAATAATTTTTATTTAGACACTTGAATTATAATTTTATTAAGGACTTGAATAAATGATGATGTACTTCTATATTAAAAATATCTATTAAGTAACATCACATAATTGAGATGAATAAATAATTAAAATGAACATAGTCAAACTTTTAAGTTTATCGATAATTTTTATTTAGACACTTGAATTATAATTTTTACTAAGGACTTGAATGAATGATGATGTACTTCTATAGACATTTTCGGCTCAAATTTTTAGAAACACTCATTGTAGTAGTGGTTTTATTAATTGCGTGAGGTTTAATTAATAATGGGCGAATAGTAGATTGGTTAATAAATTATATTAATAAGTTAAATTATAACAAATAGTTGAGCGTTGTGTATTAAAAAATATTTAAATAGTTTAAATTCAAAATGGATAAATAAGTGGTTACTTTTAAACAAAAAGTTGATGAGAAGGGTATTTTGGAGACAATAGATGAACGAGAATATTTTGGAGCTAATAGGTGGATGAAAGATAATTTTGTACCATTTATGATACTTTAAGAATATTTTAGGCCCTTTTTCATTTAATATTTGACAAATTTTAGAAAATAAAATTATTTAATCATATATTTATACTTGCCTTCAAATATGAGGGATCATTTATGATAAAATTTGAATCATGTACTTTTATCTGGAGTTTATATTGAAAACCTTTTTCAAATTAGTTCATAATTTTTCAATTTGATGATTAAATTATGAGACATAATATGTTAATATTAATTATAATTTGTGATATTTTGTATCTAACTTTATATCGCCAAAATATAGAAAGTAATTGTAATCTATTTATGATATGAATTACAATATTATAAGAATATGTATGAATTATCTATTAGAGAAAAGTATCAAATAATTAAACTGTGGAGAGATTGAGTGGAAAAATGATACTTCCCATTAGAATATTAGAAAATAATAGTGCAAAAATTATTATTTGGACTATTTCAAATCTTATATATATTTTTATTATCATTTAACACGTTAAATTGTGAAATTATCAAGTGTAGTACAACAATGGATACTAATTAGTTTCTTCTAAAGATTATATATATACTATCATCACATTATTTTTTACTCATTAATATATGGACACTTTAAAGTATTTTCTTTGATACTAACAATTATTTGCCCATCTACTTAAAATCTTTATTTTCATCCCTAACAATTCTTCGCCATTAGATTGTTGTATCTCAAAATATCTTTATTACTCTAGTTACTTATTTAATATCTCGACGTGTTATTTATTTTATTATAAAGTTTTTTATTATGAAAATTTTAAAATTTATAATAAGGTAAAACTTTTAAGTTATTTGTTTAATTACTACTGTTATTCTAAGAGCTTGGATATGAATATCACAAAATTTAAAATTTTATCGTATAAAGTAAGAATTAATATTTAAAAATTAAAATAACGTTCTAATCGTAAATAAAAATTGAAGTTATTTTAATTTTCTTTTTATCATATTTTAAGATATAAAAATAAAAATAATCTCTTTATATTTTTTGAACTCTAAAATTTAACTTCGAATAAAAGTAAAATATTTCAATTAATCAATAAATAATAAAGCATTCAAAAACTTTTCGATATAAAATATAATTATCTCAATAATAAAATACAAAATTATTTTATTATGTATTTAATTAGAGGTATTAGCCATGTTAAATTATTTATCTCTAAATATAATGAAATAATTTATCATTTATCATAATCTAACTTATTTCGAAATAATTAATAGCGAATTAACTAGTAGAAAAAATTACCATGAGGAGGAGTGTAAGGAGAGCCGGAACTATCTAGGGCTTGAAAGCACTTTAGCAAAGTCTCAGTCTTCTTTGACAAACCCCCAAAGCGCCATAAAAAGAGTATTCATGAAAATTCCAGTATTGTGACTTCGCACGCAACATCTACTCAGCCAGCCTCCAGTCGCCATTGTTATGCCCGGTATGGAAGCTGAGAACTCAAACGCCTCCCGAGCTGAAGAACTCAAGCAACTCGCAAATGAAGCATTCAAAGGTAAATTCAATATACACAAACTTGAGGTTGTATCATGTGGATTTATGAATAATAAGTCTGTTTATGATTTCAATGTGTTTTCAGGGCATAAGTATTCGCAAGCTATTGATCTGTACACACAAGCGATTGAGTTGAACGGTGAGAATGCGGTGTACTATGCTAACCGTGCGTTTGCTCACTCC